TAAATAGTATTATAGAAGGAAAATAGAGATGCTTTAGAAATGTTTTAAGAATAAATCAATTTTCACTGTCATAGGTTTTTTTATTTTATTTTCGGTAAGTTTTCTTGTTTTATGCTTTGTTCTTATTTCTACAATTGTTTTTCGGTTTATGTACAAGGATAAGTGCAAGGAACCTTACCTCTAAGAGTTGAACTATTCCTATGCTCGGTAATCCAAGGAGCTTTACCTCTAGGAGTTGAACTCCAACGTCGAGGTATGAACTCGGCTGCGCTTTTTCCCTGATGTAAGAGAAGGAGGAATCAGCAACCCATTTATTCTTCCACTGCCCCTTTGCCAAAGAAGTGTGGAGCCTCATTCTGATCACCATTCCAGTTCACCTAGCAAATGATATGAACTTTAAAGCTTTTATGGTCCAATCTAGAGGATCTATCTGCCTTCCACCTACAGGGATCAGAGTCCCGATCCTTTCGTGAATCTGTTGGTCCCTGTGGTTGGCAAGAAACAAATTAATATTCGAAGAGAAGGTGGTCAACCCAATCGAAGTAGGAACAAAAGGGCTCTCATCAGCCTTAGAGTGGGATCATGCTCAAATCAACGACCGTGAATCAAGGAAGAATACTTTTCATACCTTCTCTGGACAGCGACAGACCCCCAGACCCCTCGCGATTCCCTTCTGCTTCGTGGACGCAGCATGGAACGCTTCATCAACCCGAGCAAGAATTGCATGGTTCTTCAGAAATCACTAAGCGACAACACCAACATCAGGATCCCTAGTCATCGAATACGTGTCCTCCCCCCTCATGGCCGAATCGCTCTCTCTCCGTCAAGGAATCAAAGAAGCCCTAGCGTTCCTCTCAGTGTCTTTTCACTCCGATTGTGCAACGCTCATTCGAGCAATTTCATCCCAAAGTCAGATCAAAGAGATCTATGGCGTTCTCCAGGGCATCAAGAATCTCTCCTCTAACTTTGTATCTATCTCCTTCTTGCATGTCTCTCGTTCTCAGAACTGAGAGGCAGATCCTTTAGCTAGAACGACCCTTTCGGTCCCTTCTGTTTCTTTTTTTTGTGTTTCGATGGGGTAGGCCTTCTTTAGGCTTTAAACCTTATTTTCTTTCTGTTTTTAATATAAATCATGGTTGTTCAAAAAAAAATGGTACAAGGATAAGTGCAATATAGTACTTGATATGGTGACTAAAAATAAGTAACTAGCTTGATTGAGTGGAATACAATACTAGTATCATATATCTTGACTGAAAACACATAATCAAAAGATTAATCCACCATATATTACTAATTTGGAAATAAACTAAACTAAGTATAAAGTGGGGATTGATGGTGTTAGTTGTTGGAGGGAATGGCCCAAGTTCCCAAAGAGATTAGTTATACTTCTAATGAGATGAAAACGTTCGTGGGGGCTTTTCTTTTTATGATCTCATCATGCCAAGTGGGAGTGACCTCCAAAGCACATACCACTAAGGCAATAACCTCCACGTGGCTACCAACATATAAAACAGATTTACAGGACAAAAATAAAATTATTAAAACTCAGAGAAACTTACGACCTTTTCTACTCTTCGTAACCACTTGATCGATTTTTTTTTTTTTGTGTGAATTGGTTTATTCTAAGCAACTTTTAATTCCAAGTAAACTAAAAAATTAATCTGTTATTTGATTGTATAAAACAAACGTCACAAACTACTTCGTTATTTTTGTCTTATTGTTTCTGCTTTATACAGCCAGCCACTCGTTCTATTTCTATTTATAAAAGTTAGTCCTCATCTTCCTTATTTAATAGGAAAGGGCTTAGCTTTATGCATATAAAATTATTTCAGCATCTATATGTGTACATTGGTAACTAAGAATATATAAAACTGATAACTGGATGTGAGATTTCAAAGTCCGGAAATGATAATTCATACGATCTATAGCTAGTATGATAGTGTGGTTCGACTATGACGGGTTATAATATATTGATCTCAAGTTGAAAACTGACATATCAAATATAAAATTTTGTCCTAATTGTATATAATAGTAGATAAAAGTTTGTGAAATTTGATACTAGCTATACTTATTAAAAGGATAGAAATATTACGTGTTAACTGATATATCAATATTAATAAAGGTATTGCAAGGGTAAAGCGTAGAAATTTGATACAAGTAATTGATATAATATTTACAAGAAGGTTCTTATCTATTACAAATACTAGTGAGCAGAAATTAGGTCATATTCTCTAATAACAATGTTCTAGCTTTTGACCGATTCCAAGTCTAACACTTAATATTTTAAAATTAATCTTTAAACCCCAGCTTATATATGCTACGATAAGGTCGTGCTGGTGGTATATGCCGCTCCATTATCATCATTACGTTGCCTTTAATCTTTCATTCGCCACATCGTATGGAACTCATATTTAATTTAACAAAAGAAAACTTTTAAAAATCTCGGTTTGAATGTCAGGATAAGAAGATGAAGACTTATTTTTGCAGATAATAGGATACATTTTTAAAAGAAGCCTACATAAATCAAACTAACCTTTTACTTTTCCTTTTAAGAAATTCCAAAATTAAACCCGAAGCAGTTAATCTTTATAACAAGGTCGAGGAATTTGTTTTTAACTAGTACTACATTCTTATGTGCTACTGAATCTTTATTGCACACACCATTAACCCGACATATCTAAATTATTATCAAAAATTTAATAATATATCGATGGGATATTCTTTTAGGTGGAAACACAAAATTATAACGCGTTTGTCTATTTTCATTAATTTGAACTTATATTTATCCCCATATGTACTTATGGTAAAGAATACTCATATAAGTTTGCCACGCGTGTGCAAACAAAAAGCGACTGAGATTTTTGGGAGGTTTTATTGAGAATTACTGTTAACCATAGTTGAAATATTTACGTTTAGTAGAGATTAAGTTGCATGGGATTCCTATACAATCGCATGGGACCTCACTTCAGAAATTTGAACCAGCTTTTCTAGAACCCTAAAACAACTACTCTTCTTCTTTAAAATATTTTATTCATGTGAGTAGGCTACAACGAAAAGCTTCAAGGAATCCGATGTCCATTTTAATTCGACATATAGGTCTCCGTAGTTTAATTTAATTCTACTTAGGCATTAATCATCTGATGGTTCTATTGTACGAGTTTTTTACTCCGATGTCCATTTTAATTCTACTTATTTTCATATATTACTCTAGTTCTATTGTCACTCTAATTATCTTTGTTTTTACCATGCCAATTATCTCTTTTTCTTCAAATAAAAAAGAGATTACATGTTTTTTAATTTTATACGGGAAAATAAACTATAGAAAACACGACATTCTTGCTCGCTTTAAGGATGCCTGTTTGGCAGAGATTTGACCAAAATTCTACTATGCGCCGGCCATTTTCTGTTTACTTTTTCAAAAGACTGACCGATTCAGATTTAACCACTTTCCTTTTCTGGATAAAGTTTTCTTTGTTTTGGTAAAGTTTAATCAGTTATATGGTATGTGAATTCAACTTAACAGATATACAAAAAAAGATACAGATGTGCACGTATATGTATGTGCAGGCTGTTCCCATGCATGTGTGAGACAATGTGACTTAAAGCTTGGGGGAGAACGAGAGGAATCTTGCGTCTTTACTGAAAGTTGAAAGTTGAGACAGTACTATCTACATACTGCAATACACATTCTCCAACTTTCTATAAATTCACATTGCGAACCAGCTTCTAACAATTGTATTGGCACGTAGTCTCGCATTTGAACTTGGATATATCTAGTCAGTTTCAAGCAATTATTCCCATTGTTTGAAGGGAAAGTGGTTGTATTTAATCTATTGAAGTTAATCATGATGTTAGCAAACACTGAAGCACTTGAAGAAATAATTAATATGATTCTTATTTCAACTGATAACGTAAAATATTTGAATTGCATCGCATTATTAGACATGAATAACTTGTTTCTTAGATCTAATATTTCATGGAATATACGTAAAAATAATGTATCTTATTATTGAGCTTCCTCATGTCAATTATATACATAATTAAATATCTCAATGTAAATCGTCATAATTAATGGAGTTACTGAAAACAATGTATATGGAGTACAAATTAACCAATTAATGGGATCAAGTATAAACAAGTAATTAAGAATAATAATGATTTGGTCAAAGTTGGAAATTGTGCAAGACTACCTAAGATTTGATGAGAATGTGTCAGACATCAAAGTGAAGGTAAAGGCTTTAACTCATCTCTATCAACCAGCTCATCCAATGTATATATTTTAATCCCTAACAATTTCATTCGGATCTAGTGGAGATAATACATTAATACATATATATATGGTCAAAAGAGAATATGGTCAAGGCTGCACCTGGATTCTCATGTTATGTAAATACAATTCACGTGATATTGCCATACAACGAGCAGCTGGTCCGAATCATCTCGGTAAGTTCATCAAGATAAATCGAGAATGGGAAATGTACAATCAGATCAGTCATGGATAGACGACTAAAACTGGTATAAATATGAATTTGTTACACTTCACTCGCTTAAACAGATTAATGTGCATTATGCTTGTATTAACTCATAACTAGAGGGGGAAAAGGTTTAACTTTGATAGCTAATGTGTAACCAAAAGAAACTAATCTATAATGTATACATGCCGTTTCTCCTATAGATTCTTAAAATGCATGCCAGTTAAAGAAAAATTACGTACCCATGCCGTTTTACTTATCAAAACGAAGACTACTCGCTGTTTTCCAATATAAACCAAAACATCACGACGTTTCTTTTCGCATAGCTAAAAGCGCGCCTAGTATTGTAAACAAGTAATTGATCTCTTCCACACCGTAATTAATCTCTTACATAGATAGTCTTTCAGACAAAAAAAACTCTCTTACATAGATAAGATAGAAAACATGAAAACGATCGAATTCTACTGAACAATAATCACAAAAGATTTAAACTTTGTTTATCATTTTTTTCCAAGAATTGAAACATTTTCAGAAGCCTTTAGCACCAGATTCTTTGACAACAGCAGGTTGATCAGCCATGGATAAGCAGTACTTCGCAATCTCTCTGAACTTAGGAACACTTCTCAGATCAACTTTCGTTCCATCTCTCAACGTGATGATGATGTCACCCCATTCTCCTATGAACCTCGGCACAACCTGTACGTCCTTGATCACCTTGTACGAGAAATCGCTCCGGTCTTCTCCGGTGAGCCCCGATATCACCGTCACGCGGAGGTTAGTGAACCTGTAACGTAGGTTAAAGGCTCGTGACACGGCTGCTAGTGTTAGTGGGAGCCACAGGATGGTTAGGCCTAAGACGAGGTTGGCTAGTAGATCTCCGTAATGAGCTCCGCCGTCGAAGTAGACTGTTTCTTTCTTAGCTGCCGGTTTGGAATCGGAAGGAACTGCGGAGGAGGAGGAGGAAGCTAAGATAAGTCTTTTGTGTATGTGTTTTTGCGGTAATTTGACGGAGGAAGACAAGGAGGAAGCAGGGAAGGAGAAGGTGGTGGAGAGGAGGAGCGATTTGCGGACGACGGAGGTTGCGGCGGTTGACGGCGGAATTGAAGAAGCAGCCATGATAAAGCCTTATTGTTAGTTGTGGAGTGAGAGCTAGAAAGGATGAGTTCTGTGTTTTTTTGCATCCTATCTTTGGCACATATTATGCCACGTGGCAATAGTTCTATCGTAAGAAGATCTATCCGCATATATACACGTGGCAGGCACATACTTTGTCTACGTTTCTTTATGATACACAAAATTCATAACAACTTCATTCATGATCACCTTTGCATTATATTCACAGACTGAATATGGTTCTCATCAGTTCGTCGGGTCTGTTCACTGCCTTGAGCCGTGGCTACCGAGATCAGAGGCAGCCTTAGCAGCCCGCTCTAACGCACCGGACAACCAAAGAGCTCCACTTGAGAAGTAACTGCTATTGACAACACTACTCGCAGCTGCAGCCGCGGTTCTTCCCGTGGCAGAGACGGCTGATTTGGCTTTATCTGAAACATGGTACTTCTTATCGGTCAATCTAACAGCTTCAACTCCAGCGAAGATTTTGTCAGCGAGACCGAACCTCTGGTCTAGTTGAGATACTCTAGCAGCTGCAGCAGCTGATACACCGTGGGATTCGTCAAAGGCTTTAGCTTTGGTTAAAGCGTCTTTGCCTAAAACGAAGCCGGTAGCCAGCATTGTTTTCACCACTTCTTGTGCTTTTGTCACTGCTTCTCCGGCATTGAACTCGCCTCGTTGAGGATAAGTAGGCTACATAATTGAAGAACAAAATATGAATAAGCATTAAACTTCAACATGATTTTTTTTAGAGAAGAGATTGATCATACATGTGAGTTAGCTTCATCTTCAAAGCTCCGTGGAGTCGCGTTCCAGAAGTCAAACTCCTCGTGATGTTGTCCCCAACGAGTGATGCAAACGCGCTGATCCAATATCGTTGCTCCCTGTGAATCAACTAAAATCCCTACGTAATCAGGACCTCGGGAACTAAACCAAATCAAAACTCGCGAATATCACATAACGATATGATTTTGAAATTTCAATTCTGGATTGAAAGTTTTGCATCGAGATCACCAAATCGTTGATTCGCAGATCGTAGTAATATAGATCTAGAGAAGAACTACGAACTTACCTGCTGTTTGACTAAAGAGAAGCTTGAAAGAGAGACGATGGTGATGAGCTAACTGATGATGCGAGGGACTACCCTTTTCAGATAGTGTGAACGCAATTTGAAAGGTTCGGGAAATATTAATGGGCCTCGTTATCCTGTCTGGGCTCATTTATAAACGACTCATTGAAAACATACTTGTGCCTTCGCCCCAATATAGTTACTTTCTAATCCAGCACAACCAAACAGCAAGTAATCAGTCACATTTTTTTTTTCTTTTGAGCTTTAAAGCATAACAGTCACAAGTTGTTAGTTATTTATGTGTTGATTTTTTTTTTGGCGCAATTAAACATTTTTTCAAATTGTTTGGTGATATTGATCATACTATAGTCCACACTCAAGCACATAAATAGTAAAAAAATAAATTTATGAAAAGGGATAAAGACACTACCTTTTTTTTCTTAAAACTTTATTTACCATATACAATACCGGCTCTTGACGTGTGCTGGAGGAGCAAAAGCACCAGATCCATCATATTTAAATTAGGGTTTTTTTAAAGAAATTTTCTTTATAAATTAGCGTCCTTTATTTAGGAAATTACCTTTAAAATATTACACATATGCATAAATTAGTCAATTATATATTTTCTGTACAGGGTCTATCAAATTTATGAGTTGGACCTGACCATAGACATATCAGATAAAACTGGATGTTATCAAATTGTTTAGTGATATAAGTTGGATTTTTTTGGGAGGGGGGGGGGGCGCAGTTAAACATTTTTTAAATTGTTTGCTGATATCGATCATACTGTAGTTCATACTCGAGCATAAACAGTAAAAAAAAAAAATTTAGAAAAGGGATAAGACACTACTTTTTTTTCTTGAAACTTTACTAAACCTATACATTAGGCCTGGGCATTTTCCGGTTCGGATCGGGTTCGAGTCGGGTCATGTCGGATCCGGGTCCTTCAGGTCTTAGATATTTAGATCCAATAAGGTAATTAGACTTTGTCGCTTCGAGTTCGGTTCGAGTCCTACCGGATCCGAGTCAATTCAGATCTTATATAGTTGGACCCAATGGAATAATTAGAATTTATTAGTTCGGATTCGGTTCGGTTTTGGGTCGGGTTCGGTTCGGTTTTGGGTCGGGTTCGGTTCGGGTCCTACCGGATATGCCCAAAAAAATACTCAAATTTTATCCAAAATCTGACCCGAAGACATAAAAATATCCAAAACTTTACCTGATTATTCGAATTATATTTTTAAAAACCTAAATTTTTACTTAAAACCTATAATTATATCCGAAAACCTAAATCCGAAACATAAAATAATACTCATAATACCATAAAAGTACTAAAACATATATATATATATATATACATAATATATACTATAAGTTTTGGATATTTCGGATACCTCATCGGGTCTCGGGTTTGGGTCGGTTCGGGTCCAAGACCCACGGATCCTCCACATCAAGACCCAATAGGATAAAATGATCGGTTCAGTTCTGGATCGAGTCTTTAGATCCGGGTAAAATACCCAGGCCTACTATACATGTTGGTTAAAACTGGATGTTATCTTTCCAACCGTCCAATTAAAAGTTGTCTTGTGATAATGTTCTTTTTGTATATTAATATATGTATAGCATACACAAATCTATATTATAATGATTCAGTTTAAAGGCTCCTTAAGGTGTCCACATAGGCAGATTGTGGGTCCCACATTTTTATATTAAAATAGATAATTTTTTTAAAAGGATTACAAACAAAGAATATCAGTTTAGCCAAGTGGTCTAAGACCCCATGTTTGGTCGCCAAGGACATGGGTTCAATTCCCACTACTCTCATGCATAAACCAATTAATGTCATCATCATAAAAATGTTTTTTAAACACACATAGTCTTGGTAAGATGGTCACAAACAATGAAATACACTTTAGCCAAGTGGTATAAGGTGTCTAATTAAGTATGCAAGATTGTGGGTTCAAACCACGCAGATATCATGTATTTTTGATTTTTTTTATTTAGGTTATTATCATACGGGCTTTTTGTTTATAAACCACGCATATATCATGTATTTTTTTATTTTTTATTCTTATGTTTTTTTTTGGGTTTATTGTTTTAAAGATCAAAATAGTTGTATAAACCCTAAACCTTAATAAGTTCAAACCCAAAATAGTTAAAAATAAATCCAAAACGAATAATAAAACAAAAAACAAAAAAACAAGTCTCACGTGGTTGCCTACGCGGATGGCTTAAAGAACCTTAAAACTATCCTATTATACTATAGCTCAACCCAAAAATAATAAAAAATAAATCCAAAAACAAACAGACAAAAAAAACACAAAAAGTGAATTCCACGCAGGTGCATACGTGGATGGCTTAATGAAGGTTGAATAATATAGATTAGGAGCTCAAAAAGTTAAATCATTGCACATATTTCCTAATATATATTTTCAAAATATTTGTATGTGAGATAAAATAAAATAAAAGAACAAAATTAATTATTTTCGTTATTATTAAATGAATATATAATTTCTCAGATATCATGTATTTTTGATTTTTTTATTTAGGTTATTATCATACGGGCTTTTTGTTTATAAGGTTCTTATGTTTTTTTTTTGGTTTATTGTTTTAAAGATCAAAATAGTTGTATAAACCCTAAACCTTAATAAGTTCAAACCCAAAATAGTTAAAAATAAATCCAAAACGAATAATAAAACAAAAAACAAAAAAAACAAGTCTCACGTGGTTGCCTACGCGGATGGCTTAAAGAACCTTAAAACTATCCTATTATAATATAGCTCAACCCAAAAATAATAAAAAATAAATCCAAAAACAAACAGACAAAAAAAAAACACAAAAGTGAATTCCACGCAGGTGCATACGTGGATGGCTTAATGAAGGTTGAATAATATAGATTAGGAGCTCAAAAAGTTAAATCATTGCACATATTTCCTAATATATATTTTCAAAAAATTTCTATGTGAGATAAAATAAAATAAAACAACAAAAATTAATTATTTTCGTTATTATTAAATGAATATATAATTTCTCTTACATTTTAATAACTACTATAATTTCCTTGAAAACATTCCTCACCACTGATTCCAGACTCCGACGAATGGATTCTCACAGTTGATGACGCCGTAGATAAAAATGCCACATCATTTATGAACAAAACTCAAACTTACAAAAAACCATAGATAAAAGCCTATCTAATGAAACTTAAACAACGAATATTAACTTAATTAAGGTTATTTTCAAATTGATAAATCGTTTAATACAAATATAAATACTATAAATATAGAATTATATCAAGTTTTGAACTACGATATAAAACTATTTACAGCAAAAAAAAAAACACACCTACTTTTACACACTAAAAACTATATTTTAGCATAACTATTCCTATAAACCTTACTTCGCATATAAATAACATTTAACACATTCCTAATATTTTTCAAAAAAAATTGTATGTGAACTAAAATAAAATAAACAACAAAATTTAAGTAAGTTATTTATTTAATGAATATGTAATTTCTCTTACATTTTAATAACTACTATAATTTCATTGAAAACATTTCTCACCACCGACTCCAGATTTCGGCGAATGAATTCCAACAGTCGATGACTCCGTAGATAAAAATGCCACATCATTTATGAACAAAACCGAAACTTACAAAAAACCATATATAAAAACCTATCTAATGAAACTTAAACAACGAATATTAACTTAATTAAGGTTATTTTCATATTGATAAATCGTTTAATACAAATATAAATACTATAAATATAGAATTATATCAAGTTTTGACATACNCATCATTTATGAACAAAACCGAAACTTACAAAAAACCATATATAAAAACCTATCTAATGAAACTTAAACAACGAATATTAACTTAATTAAGGTTATTTTCATATTGATAAATCGTTTAATACAAATATAAATACTATAAATATAGAATTATATCAAGTTTTGACATACGATATAAAAACATGAAATTTTCCATTTCATTGTTAATTGGTGTCATTAGAAGAATCCACTAAACCAACAATCGGAAAAAATACACGCAAACATAATGATTCCGGCTCCGCGCTTGCGCGGGGAATATGAAACTAGTAATTATAAAATTATTCATGTATATGAGAATTACAAAGGAAAGAAAGTTCACGAAAGGAGAAAGAAATAGACAAGAGAAAAGGACGTGCGCCTAACATTTGTCTGATGTATTGGTAAAAAAACGCAAAGAACCTTATTATTCTTGCATATGAACCGTTGGCTAGATCGATACTTACGTCTCTCTTTCTCCATCTCTCATTTGTCTATTCGTACTTCTGTCCATGGCCACGTGTGTCGTATACTCTTTTTTTTTTGTCAAACTAGTAAAAAATCAGATTAATGTTAATATCTACTACATATAAAATGCAAAACATTCTACGTACGGACCAGACCGTATATGGTTTCATGGTTGTATCTTCTGACCTTGTTGCTATGTACTTCCGGGGAAAACGAGTTCAAATGTAATTTTGACGAATTGAAAAGGAAATGTGGAGAAGCCACTAAAGTATTTTTTCAAAAGAAAATCTCTATAAATGAACCGGGCCTCGTGGTCTAGTGGTAAATGAACCTCGGCCGAGGTGCCCGCCATCACGAGTTCGAGTCCCGGTCACAGCGGATTTAACATGGTTTCCGTTTGGCCGTCAGGACCTTTTCGGGGGATAGTCGGGTCTCTAAATAAACCCTGAACACCTGAGTTATCAAAAAAAAAAAAATCTCTATAAATGGTATACAAGAAATAGCTGTGATATATGGGTCCAATAACCATTATCTTTTCCCACAGATGGTGAAGAGTATAAAATAAAAAGTTGACTATGTACGTATGGTCAATGTACTGACGCATCCATTATCTTGCTTAGTTTTAAGAGAAAATTAAGTAAATGCCTAAAATCGAAGTTCATATTAGGCAAATACATATGAATTGACATTAAAACAATTTTTCTGACAATTTGGTTGGTACTAGATGATTTTCCCGTGCTTATGCACGGGTATAAATATTTATTAAGTAAATATACTATAATAATTGATTACTATTTACTTTTAATTTTCAATTAATTTATAATTTGCACACATGATTTATATTAATAATATTATTTTACTTTAATTAGACA